CTACCACACTAGGAATAGAAGGCAACTTTCTTAGTTTGATAAAGGGAATCATCATCAACAACAAAAAACCTTAGCATTATTCTAAATGGTAATATTTTGAAAGTTTCCCATTGAGTTTTGGAAAAAGGCAAAGATGTCTACTCTTACCACTTCTATTCAATATTTTACCAAATACCCTAGCCAGTGGCAAAAGCAGAAATAAGAAGCATAAAGATGGGAAATAAGTAAAACTGCCTATATTCACAGATGAAAACATGATTTTCAGCTTAGATTAGAAAATCCTAGGTAACCCACCAAAAAACTACTAGAAATAAGGTGAATTTAATAAGGCATGGGTACAATTTTAATACTTTAAAAATCAATTGTATTTTTATGTATTAGCAACAGACACTTAAAATTAAGATTTTAGTTTCATTTGTGAAAGCATCAAAAAATGAGCAAATTTAATCAAAAACACACAAGACCTCTATACCAAAAACTCAAAACTGCTCAGAAAAATTAAGGAAGACCTAAATAAATGAAGAGATATACCATGTTATATTGTTAAACTGTCAGTTCTCTCCAAATTGATTTAGAGATTCAACATCTCAGCAGAATTTTTTTATAGAAAGTGATAGGCTGATTTCAAAATTAGAAGGAAATACAGAGGCCCTAGAAGAGCAGAGCCAATTTTGAGAAAGGACAGACTTGGAGGATTTACATCACCTGATTTTAAGACTTATTTCTAATAGTAAATAAGATAATGTGGTATTTGTGAAAGAATAGACAAATTGGTGGAACACTAGAAAGTCTGGAAGTAGACCCTATATTGTCAACTGATTTTCAGCAAAAGTGCTAAGATATTTCAATGTGGAAAGGGAATATCTTTTCAACAAATGATGTTGAATCAACTGAATGTCCATATGGAAGAAAATTAACTATGAACCTACTTCAGTCCATATTTAAAATTAACTTTGACCTTACCTCTGCCCATAAAATTATTCATGCTTACAATTAAAGAGAATTATAAGTCTGAATGTGAAAGTGAAAAAGAAAACATGAGAGAAATCTTGATGCAGGCAGAAGTTTTTTAGAACACAAAAAGTAATAACCATGAAAGAAAAATATGGATAAATTGGATTTCTTCAAAACTAAAAACTGCTCTTGAAAAGATACCATTAAATGAAAAAGTAACCTACACACTGGGAGAAACTGTTGAGACAAAGATCTTATATCTGGAATATATTAACAAAAAACTCATGGAACTCAATAAAAAGACAAGAAAACATTTTTAAATAGACAAAGGCTCACTTCACAATAGGAGATACACAGATGGCAAGTAAATACATGGAAAAATGCTTATTAGTAATTGGGGAAATGCAAATCAAAACACCACTTTGAGATAGTGTTGGTAGTTTCTTCTAATGTTAAATGTACATCTACCTTATGGCCTACCAGTTCTACTGTTAGGTGTTTATTAAAATGAAATGAAATATCTATCTAAACAAAGACTTGTACATAAATGTTAATCACTTTATTCATCAATGCTAAAAATTGAAAGTAACCTAAATGAATTAACAAGTGAATGGATAAGCAAATTGTTGTATATTCATATAATGGAATACTACTCAGTGATAGAAAATATGAACTACAGCATGGATGAATCTCAAAAACATGTTGAGTGGGAAAAACAAAAGAGGATGTGTGTATATGTGTATGCACTATATATGACACAAATATGGATGTATGCATATACATGACATTCTTAAAAGGACAAATATAATCTGTGGTGAAATCACTGATCACCTGAAACTACAGGTGAGGATATGGTTTTGATTACAAAAAGGGATGTGATGGAAATATTCTATATCTTGATTGTCATGGTGGTTACACAGGTGTATACATCGTTGAAAATCTTCTAACTATATACCTAAGTTCGTGCATTTTATTCTATGTAAATTATAGCTCAAAGTTGACTTATGAAAAAAACTAAGAGATAAGTATTACATATTTTACTATGCCTAAAATAATGTTCATTTCATATACAAGTTGAGGTTGTTTGAAAATTTCACATATGTAGAATATTCCTAGAGAAGCTGGATAAATTATTAATAGGAGGTTAGTATTTTTTTATTTTTAAGTATATAAAATAGCATAGATTTTTTAAAATGAGAACCAGAAATAGGTTTGGAACTAATGAATTTGGATACCCAGTTTGGGGGAGATCGATCGATCGATCTATCTATGTATCTAGATATATATCTATGTATATATATAGATACATATATACACACATATCTAGATATAAATCTATATATATAGGTGTGTGTGTGTGTAAGTACACACACCATACATATATACATATGGTAAAGGAGACATGCTTTTCAGTATAGCTGTTTTTCTTGAAAATACTCTAAATGTAGTTTTTGGTTTGAGTTCAATAAACACGGGTAAAGTACCAGAGAATCCTTTATGCTAAATTGCCACAGTTTTGTTCAAAAGATTTGCTTATTGTGATCATTATATGCCGTGCACATAGCTTTTCACATAATTTGCCATGTGCATAACTGCATTAGGAAATTTCAGTCATATAATTACTCTTTTCACTAAATCTTTATCGTAGCCTGATTCTGTGCTCATTTCCCAGGTTATGTTGTGTGGCATGCAGGAGGTTGACTTGGCAGATTGGCAGAGAAATACTGTTTATCGACATTATACAAGAAACAGCAAGCAAATCATTTGGTTTTGGCAGGTATTTGCTTTTATGTTTTTTGAAACAAAGTACTCAACATATTTGAAACAAAGTACTCAACATATTTTCTAATGAAATGGTGGTTTTAAAAATAGCTTATTATTTTTAATTGAGACTGCTTTTGGACACAGTTTATAATTTTCCAATTCTAAATCTAAGAGAATAGTGTGAACACTTGTCAAAAGTACTTTCTATTGCTTCTTTGACTGTCTTGCTAAAATGAAGGAGTGAATGACGGAATCTTATTTAAGTAATAGTTTAATGTTAATAGTTGTAGGCATAGCAATTTTTTTCTAGTGGTATCAAAGTAGTCTAAATTCCACTTAATTCTAGAAGTAAATGAGGAAATATACTTTTTTTTTTTTTTGTAATGATAGTCAGTTTTGTAATGATAGTCAGTGCAGATATTTTAATTCCTCTGAGGTAATATATACTAGGGAATTAGAATGACCGAGGGCATAATGTCATAAGAGTGACTTTATTCATTTATTTATGTATTTATTTTTATTTTTTTGTGTTTTGCTTAAACTGTAATAGGATGGTCTCAGGAATCCAAGTGTACCACACTAATCTTGAACATTTTATTTTAATAGACTTTTGTTTTGTGTGTTTATTTGAGAATTTAAAATCTCCAGATCAGGGATATTCTTCAGATAACTTCTCTACTAATTGGGACTCATTTGAGCAATTTAACGGCTGGACTTCTGGCTTACTTCTGCTTAACTGTTTCATTTTCAGGTGAAGAGTAATGCTAGGTTTTGTGTTACAGTATACTTTCCAAAAGTTGCATCTTTTCATAAGGATGTATGTCATGAGTTTATTGCTTGATATTTTAAAGAGATGTAGACACTTCTAGAAATTTATCTTAAAATATACTTCCACATGTGTAAAGTGGCACATACCAAAGTAATGCAATATAATTGGTTTACTAACAGAGACTTGAAACAACCTAAATGTCCATCAGGAGAGTACTGAGTAAATAAACTATCATACATCCATTCTATATGTCTATAC